GGTTGTACATTCTGAGTTGTGGTCATTTTCCCCAGTCTTTATGTCAAAATCTGAGGTTTCAATTCAAACAACATAATTATTTTAGAATATAAATCCGGGAACAGTTGCCAACAGAAACTATCATTTTCCTTTCATGCACTACAATTTAATTGAGAAAGTAGAATATTTTGGTTACTTTTCGGTTTTTACACTGATTTTTAAAAGATAATAAAAGTCATTTCTAGACACAACTTTAAGAAGATAGTATTTTCATTTTTGAACTATGAGGAAGTTTCAAGGTTTTGAAAGCAAGTGTAATTTGAATTCTATCTTGATAATAATGATAAAATATGGCAGACTGAATAGTCTCACTGTGTGGAATCTGGAGACAAGATGAGATCTGATTTTGCTCCCCTGGAACCGTGTGTCTCCCTTGGAAACATTCTTTCATTTGACTTTCATTTCCGTCTCCACTGCCTCCTGCCCCTCCAGATTCTCGGGTTCTTTGGCCTCCTCTTCCCATCTCTGCCTGGCCTGCTTTGTGGCCATCAAAAGTGCAGGTTTTAGAATCTTCCTCAATTTACTCACTTCCCGAGAGTGTCCCCTGCTCAGGGCTCTGTAAAGTTCTCTACACTGTTCAGACCCAGCTCTGCAAGCTATCTGTCAGCTCAGAGGGCTGCACCTATGCCAACCAAGCTACACATTGACTCCTCTGCAGTCCAGAGGCTGAGACTACAGCATCAAGGCATCTGCTGACTGGGTGCCTGGTAAGAGCCTGACTCCAGGCTCAGAGCAGGCTGTCTTTGACTAGCCCCTTTTCTTGGGGTGCTGATCCCAATCAGTATGGCATACAAGCACACAGAGCTATAGCCATGCTAGTTGTCCAAAGCCCCTTGTTTGACATCTGAGGAGTTCAAACTGATACCATTGCCTTAGGTATTAGGATTTCAACATATACATTGGTTGGATATAAATATTAATATCACAGCTCCACTAGCCCTTTAAAATCAGCATTAAAGCCATACTGCCCCAACACTTCTGACTTACTGTGTCCAGTCCTCATCTGTCATTGTCAAAACCTTGAGATACCTCAGTCCCTCTTCTCCCAAAGCCCCCATTCATGACTGTACCACCTGAGTCCACTTCCCGTAATGACTACGCCCACTCAAGGCCTCCTTGTAGTTGACTTTCCATCTGAAGTAGCTTTCTTCCTTAACCCTTTGCTTTTGTTGGGACAATGAGTCCCTCTGAATTCAAGAGAAAAACAAAAGTGGGTATGAAATACTGTCACAAAGCAAAGAAACAAAGTGGCTTCTGGCCTTGGCATTTGGAGGTAGCAAGTGATGGTGAAGAGAGACCCAGGGAAATGGTGAGGATAGGAGACCAGAAAAGGACAGAAGGAGGTAGCGTGCAAAGTGTGGAGCCTGCTAGTGAAGGGGAGGGGCAGCTAGGAGCAAGGAAACACGTTTTTGTCTAAGACAATGGAATAAAACTAAAAAAATACTTGACTATGGCAGGCACAGGACAGCATATTATTGGAATAACTGTTATGTAAGTGTGTGTGTGTGTGTGTGTGTGTGTGTGTGTGTGTGTGTGTGTAGAGATGGCTATGCATATTACAAGATATGCAGACATGGATAGAGTCTCTAATTCAAAACACAAAACTACCACTGGTTAAATGGGCTGTATTGAGGACTACCAGAAGCCCTGATGGTCAAGGCAGACGTTCTCGGGGAATAGAATCCCACCATTTATGAGTCAGTTCCCTTCAGATGTGATTTGCAACTCACCTGTGCCAGGCAATGAGCTGGCCAGGCCCGGAGCCTGCAGAAGTGACCGAGAACCCACAGCTGCAGTCATCTGCAGCCTCACAAGTACGTGTGCATTAGTTCTCCTCAGCACTAGGTGAGGAAGAACCAGAAAGGTCCGGTGAGCTCTGCCCTGAGTTTCAGAACAGAGTAGGTGGAATAAAGAGAAGCAAAACAAGGCTCAAAGGAGAAAGAGGCAACAGAGCACAGCCCGGGTGTTAAATTTGAAGTTAGAGAAACATTATTGCCAGCCCAGTGCCTCACTGCTGGCCACATGAACTTGAGCACACAGAGCCCCTGATCTCCTCTTTAACAAAGAATCAGGAAAGAAATACATAATACATCCTCACCCTGTCTTAGCTTGTTACTGATGGTTCCAGCACAAACCCACACAGGTGCTTCCTCCATGCCGCTAGTCCAAGGCCCTTTTATGCTGCACTGAAGTGCACTGAAGAGCTCAAGCCACATTTCAGGGGTGATGGAGAGTGGCTCCAAATTTCCACAGGAGACAGCATCATTGGATTTGGGTTTCATTTGATCTCTGACTGCAGTGGGAAGACTTAGCAAGGAGCAGAGAGCTGGAAAGAAATGTATGCATGGATTCTCTCCCCATGGGTGGTCATTGCTCTCCACCATCATGCTGTTTTTACTGAGAGCTATCACACGCAAAAGAATGCTACATAACTGACAAGAATAGGAACAACAATAGGCATCCATCTTTTTGGAAACAGACCACAATAGTATAAAAAGAGATAAGAACTCGAGATTTCCAAACTCACTCCCAGACCTGGTCAGATAGTAGTTTTATAGTGTTTAATATCAGAGAGCCCCTAAAGCATGTAAGCTCATATTATTCTCTAAATTAAAAGTTCTTAGCATGAGGTCTACCCTCAAACAGGTTTCCAACAGTGCCTAAAATCAGAAAGAAAACCATAAACATTATTAGATGCTGCTCAGAGAAGAGCCAACCCCCAAACTATTGTCTGTGTGTGAGAGAGAGAGAGAGAAAGAGAGAGAGAGAGATTGACCCTGTATTGAAATTTGTCTGTTTCAGTTTATTTTGTTGTTTGTTGTTTTGGTTTTTTCGGTTTGTTTGGGGTCTTCTGTTTTGTTTTTTGAGATGGGGTTTCCCTTTGTAGCCATGGCTGTCCTGGAATGTTGGTTTTAACACAGTGTCTCACTATGTCTACCAGGCCAATCTTAAACTTATGATCCTCTTGCTCCAACATCCTGGGTGCTACAATTACAGTGGGGTGCCACCTTGCCTTGTACATTGAATTTTAATGAACCCTGACTTAGACGTTATGCCTGAACCTGTGGCACTTGGATATGCATAGGCATTTTAGACTTACGTCCCAGGCTGAGCTCCAGGGTTTCTCCCATCTCTTAGAGCAGATTGTGCAGACTCCTTGGAGGTCATTTTCCTCATACTCTGCATCTAACCCCTCAGGGCCGTCACCTCTACCTTCAGAGTCTGCCAGGAGCCCAGCATTTCATTCACCGCTTCCATTCCCCACCGACACCATTCCCCACCACTCTTTCCCAGTACGCCGAGTGGTCCTGACCAGCCTCTCTGTGTCTGCCTTGCCCTTGTCTAGACTGTGACAAAAGTAGTGCTTGCTCACAGCCCTCCATCAATTTCCCTTCTCCCCAGCAGCTTCCCATCTCTATGGACCACACCTCATCACCGACCTGTGACACTCCACATAGCCTGATACCTTGTTTTCCCAACTCTGATCTATCTCCATGGTAACCTGTGTGATTTCCCCAAGGCCTTCATACATGCAATGTGGTCTGCCTGGAAGGAAGGCTTTCCTGACTATTTATGTGGCCTGCACTCTTCCCTGAAGCAAATATATGCTCAGATGACCCTTCTTGAGCCATCTGTTTTAAAATTGTAATCTTTTCCCCCAGAATTGCCCCTCCTCTGCTATATCTTTCTCTTGCACTGACCAGGGATATGTATTACACTCATTGCTTGCTCACTCCCCCACCATTATAATGTAGGTATAGGGAATTAGGAGGGCCTTTTTGTTTCTCTTCTCATAACGTGTAGGGACCCTATCACAATCTCAGCACAATGCAGAAATACTGACTGTATGAAGTTCATTTTGAGACTGTTGGCTGTCATTGTTATTACCACCCCATGCTTTCTGTTCACTAATTTTTTGTGTATTATTTCTATGATACAGGATTGTAGGTGGAGTTTCTTGACAGCTGCTCCCAAATAGCCATTCAAAGACGTATTATTAATTACAAATGCTCAGCTGATAGGTCAGGCTGGTTACTAGCTAACTCTTAATTCTAAACTAACCCATATTTCTTGCCTACCCTCTGCCTCATCACTGTACCTTCTTTCAACAAGGTATGTTCATTCTACTTCCTTCTCAACTCCCGAGACTCCACCCTTCTTCCAAGCATTCTCTCTTCCATGAAGATCCTGCTATTGGCCAATCAACTTTTTATTAACAATGAGAGCAACCACTTTCACAGTGTACAGAAGGATTATTCCACAGCACAGGATTATCCTCATGGATTCTGCATCTTTTCTAGTTTACTTTTTACTTGAAATGGTAACTGACAAATTGATAATTGTAGACTTTTGTGGCTTCTACCTTCACCATAATGACCTGGAATCTGCTTCTGAAGTTACTTGGCAACTGAACTGCCACCTCTGTCCACGTCTTACAGGTTCTTCAAATTCTACACTACCCTTTGAGCTGCTGTGGAGATTCCTTTCAGTTTGCCATGGGTTTATAATTATAATTTGATAGCACAATATCTATAGATTCTAACTCATCATTGTTTGATGATAAGACTGATTTAACTAACAATAACTTCATCTTTTGTTACATGGTTGTAGCCCTATGCTACAAATATGAGACATTTTAATAATAATTGACACTTGCTAATTTGTCTATTTTATACACTAGGACTTCTTTTCCTTGGCTTTTTGCTATTTTGTCTCAAACTTGCAGCAATCCTCCTGCCTCAGTCTGCTGATTGCTGGGTTTGTAGTCATGTGCCACCACAATCAGCTGCGTTTGCAGATTTTTATTCTAGCATGCAAAATCTGGGCTTGTTTGCTGAAAATCTAAAGCAACAGTAATCAACCACTAGCTGAGGCCTTGCTAATACCAGTTCATGTGGTAAAGCTATCTTTTCAAGTACACTAATTTTTGATGTTGCTGTATTTCTCTTACACTGTTTCAGGCTTTACAAGATGAACTAGAAATCCGCTCTAATCAGGTGCGAAGTGTGGAGAAGAAGTTACAACACAAAGAACTGGAGGCGCAGGAACAGGTAGGTCCTCTTGGGCCGGGCTGGTCCTCAGTGTGTCGGCTATGCTTCTCTTGCTTTGAGAACAGAGTGCCCCACTGGGTCATCAGAAACAAGGGCAAGCATTACCCCAAGTAGCCATGACCAGTCAGGACTCACCAACTGATGGTGGAGTTACGCAAGGAAGGGAAAGAAAACAAAGAAGCAGAGAAATAGATGTTGGGTGGACAGCCAACAGTGTCTTATATGCCACCATTTAAAAATAAGTGAACATATATTCTAATTTCTCTTCAGATTGTATAAAACCACATAAAATAAATGGACATTATTTAATTAAAAGGCATAAATCATGTTTTCTTTTCAGTTTTAATGACCTCTTTCTTTCCATTCTTTTAATAAAATAAGCTGACTATGACAATAGCTAATGACCTATTTTATTTTCAAATGACAGGCTTATTTTTACTCAACTCTTAGTTTTAATGAATTATAGCAAGTGGCAATTCAGACACTTTAAAAGCTTTAACAGTGGACCAACAGAGAATGAGTGTTACTGAGATCCTGGGTGATTCATTGTCCTTAGCCATTGGGTATAGTCTTCCCACCACTCCCTCGGTGTCCCAGTACACTACGCACATCCCCCCAGGAGTGTTGCCAGATATGGATACCTCAGCTGTGTTGGTAGAATTCAGTATAGGATCTCAGGGCAGGTCATTTCGACTTTTGAAAACCGTAAGGGTTCCGGTCTGGTCATGGAGGCTCTGTTCGTCTCTGGAGATACTGACAGAGGCCCTTAGGACAGGGTGTGGGACAAAATGGTGCTGAGCTTAACAGTTGCTGCACTGTGCAGCTGCCGGGTCTGTCGCCCCCCCCACTCCCCCACCCCCACCCCCACCCCCCCCACCCCCGCTCTACAGCTTGTCTCAGGACTGCTGTAACAGACTCAACAACCAAAAGGTTTGTAACTGGGTTCATTTGATCAGCTTTTCCTCTTGGGGATCGTGTTCTTAATGACAAGCTAAGAGCATTTGCCCCAGCACTAAGTTCCAGATTTTCTCTTTGTTCCCTGAAAGTTTTACAGCTGTATGATTTACATTCAAGAAGGTGATCTATTCTGAGTTAATTTTTATATGAAGATATTGGACTTGAAAAGTAAAAACTTACTGTGTTGACTTGATTCCTGTAACTGCTAGCCAGGCCATGAAGTATTCCCTGTAGAATCCATTGCACATACATAGTTCTGTTTCCACAGATACATATGCATATATTTATAGATTGTGTGTTATATAGTATCCATGTCATACAGTTGAAAACAGTAGAAATATTCTGACTACAAAGCAAAAAAATACTCATACTTCCCAAATGTCTACAAGGGGACAGGCAGTGTGCAAGAAGCAGTTAATCCTCTCTGTGGCCATAGAAAGGCAGCATTGGCCATCTTTGTTTTACAGATGGCCACATAAGACCACGCCTAGCAGAGGTGTATCAGACACAAGGCCATCTGGATCTAGACCTTCTTCCTATGGTGACTTTAAGGTTCATTTCTAGTTAGTATAAGAAAGGAAGAAACAAACTGGTGCCAGTTTAAATCGTAGGCTACTAAGGATGGCAAGAAAGTAACCCTGAAGTTCTAAATGCCTGTGGCAGTAGCTAATCCCATTGACCTTTTACAGGCAGAGAAAGGAAATGAGCACAGGACAGATTTGGCCACAGATGAAAACACATCATTAGGTGGAAGTGTGGTGGCATGCAGGTCCAAGAGGTATGGGTCTAATTGTCACAGAAGATCACCTGAGCACCATCCTCTATCCAGGACACTTGTAACTTAAAAGAATTAAAAACAAGCGTTTGAAAAGCAGAAAACTTTCTGGGCTCCCTGGAGGGCTGCAGCTTCTCCATTTTGTGGTAAAATGTGACTTAAGGTAAAACTTTGTTGACACCACTTAAATTCATGGCAAAACTTCACACAGAAAATTCCATAATATGTTGAGAGTTGGGAAATCAAGAAATCCCAAATGAACAATAGGGAAGGATTCAGGAACTACTTTCAGCCTTTTTTTGTTGTTGACTTCTTTTTGATCATCAAAGTTGCTTTCATGTTTGCAGTGACAATAGCTTTTTAGAACACTTCTTACACTAATTCCTGATATCTTCTGTTAGGCTACAGTTTACCAAAGAAACATCAGGAAATACCTGTGAATGAAGCTGAGTGTGCCTTAATCATTGCCACTATGAGCTGTTAGGTTTGCACAAGATCCTAGGATATAACTAGAACAGAAAGGCCAATTGTTTCAACAACAACAACAAAAAAATGAGTAGCACAGAATCTGTACTTAGTAAATAAATAATATTCACCTATAACTTGATTTAACCTTTTATCTAAATTTGACTGATGTCCACCTTTCATGTCAGAAAGGATTGGGACTGCTGTGGTGGTTTCTTAGGGCCTCCATTTATATGGACTTGGGATAACTAAAATGTTGACATTATAATATGCTGTTCCTTGTTAGCGCCCGTCAAAGCAGCTACAGTAACAGTAGCTAGCTCCACATCACCTAGACAAACAACTGAAGGGAATGCAAAACGGCTACTTAGAACTTTCTGCTCTTTTGTGTCAACTAAATATTATTATCCTGATACTAGTTGCATTAAAAAAAAAATCACACTGAAACTGGCAGGATTTCAGAAGACAATTTCCTGGGCTACTTTTTATAACTTACTTGCTTTAAAAAAAAAAAAAAAAAAAAAAAAAGTTTAAACTATCTCTGGTTCTCATTTAAGAAAAATTCCTGTGTTTTGATTTTACAAAAACAAAAACTGAATGAGGCATTTTAAAAGTTATGTTTTTAATTAAAAACAAAAGGCTTCTTCTCATCAGGTCTTGATGGGTGGTACCTTTTCTGTCCACCGCTTGCCTCTGTGCCATTAGCTCATCTCTCTCCTGTGCGGCAGATCAGCAAGCCAGGCAGGAACACACCTCCATCACTGGTCCTTGTGTGCAGATTCAGAGAACTAGGATGAGGCAACAACTAGTCTCCTAAGTTAATCTTATAAAACATAATTCCTGTGATCCCCAAGTAGTAACGAGTGTAGTCCTCTTATATTTGTCCACACTAGGAGTTGTATATGTCCTATTCTAGGTAAGATCTGATAAGAAACCCAGAACCTCAGGAAAGGGAGAGGGATCAGAACTCTGATCAAACTGCCTCCTTGTGAACAGCACAGCCCTGCTGAAAGGCTGTGCCACCCTGATATATGGCCCGGAAGTGGCTGACCCAGGCAAGGCTGGGTATGCTCGGCTTCCTCCCCATGTGCTATTTTCCATCATGGTGACAGAACAGAGCGGATAAATGCTGACTATCGCCTGAGTTCAGGTGCAAATCAGAGTGTTATGGCTACAACCAAAATTCACTTTTGGAACCAAATGTTTTACAATTCACAAGGAGAATAGATGATTTGATCTGGCAAATTATAGAGTAGATAAGAGAAGGGGGGAAAAAAAGCAATAACCTAAACTTTACTCGGTATTTTTAACACTTTATAAATCATATTTCTATAACACTGTCGCTAAACAGAACCAGATTCTGGCCTATACAGTGTGGGTACTAAAACATATGTAATAATCCCCCTGTGTCAGACCGGTGATCTAAAAGTTGAAACCAGGATTAGCTTTTGTATGGATACAATTGATTTTGCCAGTGGCTAGGGAAAGATTTCATTAAGTCTAGTGGTCTCTATTAATATATGGACTTTCTCCTTTTTCATATTTGATTACGTTGATCACTTTGTTCCTCATAAAAATTATTTTAAATAAGTAATTTACTCAAAAACCAACACTTCAGAGACTTCCTAATAAATAACTTACAGTGTTGACCATTTCGTGGAAGAGGTACTTTTTCTTTTCTACTTAATGCTTTGTGTTTTCTCCCTGCCTGGTGCTGAAAATGGAGCCTAGAGCCTCATACACGCTCAGCAAGTGATCTACCACTAAGTCATATCCAAGCCTCATTTTAGTCCTCACAGGCCAGGTATGAGAAGACACCAGAATAAATGAGTTGTAGATCCTGCTGTGAGGGATTTTGAGTCTCACAATACCATGAACCAGGTGTTGATGGAGAGACTTCAGGCAGGGAGTTAGACTGGGGCTTTTTCTTCTCCAAAGCTCTGAGACTCCATCTAAGTCATGGAAAGAACAAAGAGCCCGATGCCATGATGCTTCCTAACATCTTCCTCATCCCTAGGGAGAGTAGAGGGTGAGGATGCAGGCAGGAGAGAATTGGGTTCCCAGTACCCTATGTAGGGGTTGGCCCTAGTGTCGGGGCCATTTTAAGAGCTTAGGTTCCCGGGTGAAACAGCTGCTTCCATGGCCAGTGAGGAAAGGGCTGCCAGCCGCCTGCAGTGAAAAGCTCCTGGCTCCCACCCCGCCACTGCCTTCGGCTACCCCTAGCCTTCTGGGCAGCATTTTTGTAGCCCACTGCTTTAGCTCCTAATCGTGTGTCCAGGTCTAGACTGTACAGACACAGGTGGCCCATAGTTATTTTAAAATACATAGTTTCTAAAAGTCCCTCACCCTTCACACTTCATGAATAAGGCCTAACCACATTGGTTAATTTCAGAGATAATCTAGTGGCCAGAGCCAGTCTCCGTGGTCACTGTGAGCTTAGGTCTGAGGTTGTCCCAGAAACCCCATCAAGACCCAGGAGAGAAAAGCGGGGGGGGGGGGGTTCATAACTAGTGTCATCCACCTGTAAAAGCATTGTGGTTGTAATCCACCCTTGTCACTACTAGTCATGTGATCTTAGTCAAGTCCCTTCCTCTTTGGTAAATTGTTAGTAATACCTTCCCACAGGGCTCTTGGAAACATCAAAACAAGACAGTGTATGTAAAAATACTTTAAACACTATAAAACATGCAGCTGCAGCGTGTGTAATCAGTTATTTGTAGCAGGGAAGGGGCCTCTGGGCTGGGCATTGAATGAACAGAGGAAAGGCATTCTAGCTAGGGAATAGAATGCAAGGAGCTGAGAA